GAGGGAGACCCCATCTCTACTAAAAATAGAAAAATTAGGTGGGCATCATGGCATGTGCCTGTAGTCCCAGCTACTTGGGAGGCTGAGGTAGGAAGATCGCTTGAGCCCAGAAGTTTGAGGTTGCTGTGAGCCATGATGACGCCACTGCACTTTAGCTGGGGCAACAGAGCAAGACTCTGTCTCAAAACAAAACAAAACAAAACAAAACCTAACCAGTTAGAAGTGAATGACTCATTCAGTACATTCACAGTGCTGTGTAACCATTATATAACTCTGTCTAGTTCTAAAACATTTTTTCTTTTTCTTTTTTTTTTTTTTTTTTTTTAGACAGAGTCTCACTCTTTTGCCCAGGCTAGAGTGAGTGCCGTAGCGTTAGCCTAGCTCACAGCAACCTCACACTCCTGGGCTCAGGCGATCCTTCTGCCTCAGCTTCCCGAGTGGCTGGGACTACAGGCACACGCCACCATACCCGGCTAGTTTTTTTCCATATATTTTTAGTTGTCCGATTAATTTCTTTCTATTTTTAGTAGAGACGGGGTCTCGCTCTTGCTCAGGCTGGTTTCGAACTCCTGAGCTCAGACAATCCGCCCGCCTCGGCCTCCCAGAGAGCTAGGATTACAGGCATGAGCCACCACGCCCAGCCTCATTTTTTCTTTTTTTATGGACAATGTACAGCACTGTAAAACATTTTCATCACCCCAAAAGGAAACCCTTTACTCATTATACAGTTGTTCCTGTTCCCTCCCCTCCCCTTGGTAACCACCAATCTGCTTTCTGCCTCTATGGATTTGTCACCGAAACCAACTGGGTCCATTTGCCCATGTGCCACAGAAAGCCAAACACTGAACCACTGGGTTTTTGCAGCAAGAAAGGTTTATGGTTAGGTGGCCAAAACAAGTAGACAGGAGTTGGACTCAAATATGTCTCCCTGAGCTGGTTTTATGATCAGAGGGTAATAAGGAGGGATCTGATTGGATCATACCCAGGATGATGGGCGCCATGGCTCAATCCGATTGGCTCCTGCCATGAGACGTCCACTTCTTAATTCAGTCCCTGTTCCTCCTCAGTCTGATCACTTAGGTTCCGCCTGTGGTTGCAGGCTTGGTTCCTCTGGGTATGCTCAGGTTATGTGGCCTTCAACCTGGGGTCCGTGGCAACTGAAAAACCAGATTTGGCTGGTTCTGCAGTTAGAGATTTACCTCTTCTGGACATTGCATATAAATAGAATCATATAATATATGGCCTTTCTGTCTGGCATCTTTCGCTGAGTACGATACGTTTCAAGGCTCATCCATATGATAGCCCTGTCTGGTTTTGGTTTGTAAGTTATACTATCCCTTTAAAAGAAATTGGATGTTCTCCTCCTTTCTTCCTTATTTCCCCCCTATACTTGATATCAGCCTGAATTACGGAGAAACAATTGTTACTTGAAATGCCGATAAAACTTGATTGAAAAAAATCCTCCAAGGTTTTGTCCTTTAGAGGGAGGTAGTTCCTCCCCCCGCCACACACACATTATTGGGATCTCATTAACATTTATGGGTCTAGTCAGGTCTGCTGCTGCTGCTTGGTACAATTTCTGCATTTTGTATTTTTCTACAAATGTATTCATTTCATCTTGATTTGCAATTTTATTGGCATAGAGTTGTTCTTGCCCATCTCATATGAGTCTTTAAAACTGTAACCTCTGTAAAGATTTCTTCTTCCTCTTTCACAATTCGTTTATTTGGACTTCTTTCACGTCTCTTTTGCTCATTTTCCCCGGGGATTTGTCTCGTTAGTCTTCGAAAAGAGCTAGAGTTTGGTTTTTATTCTTGCCACTTTTTTTCCTTTGTCCTCTTGTTTGCTGATTTCTGTTTTTATCTGTGTTATTTCCTTATTTTCTTGAGTCTTTGGGGTTTCTTGGCTGCAGGCTTTCTGGTTTCCTGCCAGGTCATGACCTCAAGTGATCCTCCCGCCTCAGCCTCCCAAAGTGCTAGGGTTACAGGCGTGAGCCACCACACCCTGCCTATGGGAAGAATTTTAAGTGCTGATTTAGTTTTGTCATTATTTGGCTAATACTTGTAGGACTGTAGGTTGTCAAGTTATTCATGAGTCAGTTTTGATAAATTGTGCTTTCCTAGGAATTTGGCCAGTTTTTGGAAGTTTTCAAATTTATTGACAAAGTTTTCATAATATTAGTTTTAAAAATATCTGAAACATTGCCAGTAATGGTTTTCTGTCTTTTATTTTCTGTGACTTATTTTTTTTTGATTAATCTTGCCAGAAGTTTGTCTATTTTATTAGTCTTTCAACTAATCAACTTTTGGCTTTGGTGTTTCTCATTTCTGCACTTATTTTATTTTTCTTTTATTGAGTTTCTTGTGCTGTTCTTAGCCTAACTTCTTAAATTAGATGCTCAGCTATTTTTGAGCTTTTTCTCTTTTCTAATATATGTGTATCAGGCTATGCATTTCCCTCATAGGATTGCTTAAGCTGCATCCCACAAGTATTGATATATCTTTGTTGTTCATCTATTAAGTGTGTAATGTCCACTGTGATTTTTCTTTTGACCCATGAGGGTTTGTTTTGGGAGGGAATGGGGGTGACTGGTGGGAGAATGCCAGGTAAATGGAATTGGAATAATTAATCTTTGTTTCATGACATACTGTTAATTATTGGTTTATGCAAATCCCTTTTCATGTTTTTGTTTTTTTTGAGATGGAGTCTTGTGCTGTCACCTGGGCTAGAGTGCCATGGCATCAACTTAGCTAACAGCATCCTCAAACTCCTGGGCTCAAGCGATTCTCCTGCCTCAGCCTCCCGAGTAACTGGGACTACAGGTGCGCACCACCACGCCTGGTTAATTAGTCTACTCTTAGTAGAGACAAGGTCTTGGTCTTGCTCAGGCTGGTCTTGAACTCCTGACCTGAAGTGATCCTCCCACTCTATAATCCAGAGTGCTAGGATTACAGGCATCAGCCACCATGCCGGGCCTGCTTTTAATGCATTTTAAGGTAAAATTCATATAACATAAAATTAAGTATTTTAATGTGAACAATTCAGCAGCATTTAGTATATTGGCTATGTTTTGCAACCACAGCTTATTTTTTTTTTATTTTTTCAGAGGAAGGACCTCTGAAAAAACCACAGCTTTAGTTCCAAAACATTTCCATCACTACAGAATTAAATTCTGTACCCATTAAACAGTTACTCCCTATGTCCTCACTCTCTAGCCCCTGGCAACTCTAAATCTACATTTTATTTTTACTCTTTATTATTTTTTTGAGACAGAGTCTC